AACGAACCACAGCAGAACAGGCATCAGAAATGCACCGGAGCGCTTGTGAGGAGAAAATCAAGACCATTTCAAGGAGCAAATCAAGACAACCTTGCGCATGCAAAGCCGCCTCTTCCCCAACAGCAGCACTGCGATGCTCCTGCCACACACCTCCTGCTGCCCCAGGCTGTGGGGCGGCAACACCAGCCAGAGCTCAGCCCGAGGGCCTCAGAAGGGAAGGATCAGCATGGCTGAGGAAGCTGGGCCCCCAGACAGCAATGTGGCCTCTCCCTGGGAGCATCACCCCTCAGTGCAGAGGGCTACAGATCCCCTTGGGTCCCACGCATTCCAGCCCAAGGCACTACCAGCAGCTTTGTTGATTTGTTCGGCCTTCTCAGCTTCCGACGCCAGGATCTGGGCCTGCTTCTGCCCCTCAGCCACGTTGATAGCTGATTCCCGTGTCCCCTCCGACTCCAGCACCATCGCCCGCTTCCGTCGCTCTGCCTCAACCTGCAAACACAGGTCAGACACCAGCCTGCCACCACCGTGCTGGGGACAGCCCACCCGTGGCGCAAGCGCAGCGAGGACACGCTCCTATGTCCTGCTTGGGCAAGCACAGCTTTAGCAGAGGGTGAGAACACAGCTACGAAATGTTGTGTGATCCTTGGTGAGGGCTGGTTCCACTCCTCAAGCTGCACAGCCCTCCGCTACCCACCCCACATCTAGCCAGACAGCCGCTTCCCCCTCCTCCCTGTCCAGCCCGGAGATCTGGCGTATGGCTTCTCCCTTCAGCTCTGGGATTTGCTTCCTACAGAGCCCAGGAGGGACCTTAAAGGCAGGGCTTGCGTGTACCACGCAGGGGCCACCACCACCGAAATAAGGACAGGAATTATTTATTCAACAGCTGTACGTTTGCAGCCAAAGTGCCAACGGGCTTCCCTCACCACAGGAGGGGTCAGTGCTGCCAGCTCTGGACAGGGTAACAACGCTGCGGCATGGAAGGGGAGATTTCCCTCTTGTTCCAGACCACCCTCCCAGGGAACCAAACCTGCATCTGCATGGATTCCTTCACGCGGGGGGGTACGTGGATGTCCTTGATCTCGTAGCGCAGGCACCGGATGCCCCAGCAGTCTGAAGCCTGGTTGATGGCATCCACAATGTTGGCATTGAGGGACTCCCGCTCCTGGGAGGCACAAAAGGAATGGCAGAGAGCAGAAGAAGCGCTTAGCACGAGAGAGAAGTCAGGAGGGAAACAGACAGCTCCCCATCATGGGCCAAGGTCAGCCCAAAAAAAAAAAAAAAGCCAAAACAAGACCCATCTTCAAGGATTCACTAATAGGTCAGCTGAAACAGAGGCCAAAAGCCCTCTTAGCAGAGAGCGTTTTACTGTTAAGTGTATCAGCCTGGCCATGCAGACTGCCCCAGGGTGTCGAGAGACGCTGACTGCTCCATGATCCACCTCCCCAGCTCACCCGGAAGACTCTGTCGAGGGAGAGTTTGCCAAGTTCGGATCTCATGGTGGTCTGGGCCAGCTGGGTCACTGCATACTCGGGATCTTCCACCCCATAGCTGGCCTGGAGTGCAGAAGCAAAGAACAGAGTCAGTGGCAGTGCCAAGAGGAACCCTGAACAAGGCAGGGTGAGCGAACATAAAGATGAGAAACCTGCCACAGATACCCCTGTCAAAGAAAAGCAGAGTCCAGAGCCTCAGGAGGGATCGGGACACTCAGCCCGTCTGCCTCGTGGGGCACAGCAAGCTGGGCCGAGGCTGAAGTGCACATCATGGGGAGAAGGGAGCCAGCAGAGTCAGGCCAGCAGCACCTGAGGTGCTGCCACGGCAGCCATCTGAGCAGCGCAGCACACGCAGATGGTGGAGGCTACAAGTTTGGCTCAGGCCGACTGTTGGTGCAGCAAGGGACGGTACCTTGTAGGGGTCCATAACCCGCAAGTAGAGCACACCATCAATCTGCAGGGTGACGTTATCTGCCAGGAGAGAACAACACATCCTGTTTACTGAAGCAGCGAAGACAAAATATGGCAAGCCCCTCGCCCCTGACAGAACCAGCAAGGCTGGGCAGGGTCATCCCTTTCCTTCCTGGTGTCAGCAGCCTGGTACAGATAAGGGATTGGCTGAAACATATCTCCGTATCTAAAAGGCTTTGTAAAAAGAGCCTTGATGTTCCCTAGTAAACATTACATTCTGACAGTTTAGTACACAAGAAGTCTCAGGTCTCCAGATCAAAACATTTCATACTGTAGCTACCTTCATACATAAAGATTTAAAACAAAACAGAAAGCTTAATACTAGAATTGTAACAGAACTGTCCGTTAACCTGGTTTGAAATCTTTTTTTTTACAGAAACACAAAAGATTTCTTTCTGGTTCAACACAGAAAAAGATCTGAAAAATGGATTCCTGCCCAGGTGCACTGAACCCAGTAAGAAGGGTCAGCGGCAGCCCCAAGAAGGCAGATAGGACCTCCTAGAGTGCCCCTGCTCACAGCCCCAGGAGTATGGCCAAGCCCAGGTCCCCAGGGACAGGGCTGAGTGCCAGAGCCTGGGACATTTCCACTCCTCCCCGCGCTGCCCCTCGCTTGTCCTGGACACAGAGGAAGGAAAGGGTCAGGAGGCAGAAGCTGTTCCTTACCTAAGGTGACAGCTGACTGCTCTGGGACATTAATGACTATTTCTTTGAGGCTCTGCACGTAACGAATCCGATCCAGCAGAGGGATGAGGAAGTTCAAACCCTGGGAAAAGGGCGGGATTAGATGGCTGAGCCCTCTGCTCTGGAGTTTTCCCCCCCAGAGAGCTCAGCCAGACTAGAGAGAGCTGTGCAAACAAAGCCCAAGTACGCTACACGCTGCAGCGTGAACATGCTTTACACATGGGGGGAGAATTTCAGTTTCTCAGTGCTTTTAACACCCTGCCCAAGGGAAATTAGTCTACAGGCAATCAAAAGGATTGCACTCTGGAAGAATAAGCACACCACTCCCCGAATCCTCATGCAAAGGACACGCCTCACTACAGCTTTAGGAACCTGCTGAATCCAGAAGGGGAGAAAAACGTCTCCTTACAGGCTCGAGGATTCGGTGGAACTTGCCCATCCTCTCCACCACCCAAGCCTCCTGCTGCGGCACAAAGAGCACACCGATATTCACAGGCAGGCCGGAGTTCAAGTGGCGTGGTGCTGGGGCCAGCCACGCTGAATGCTTCAGCTGCTGGGAGCGCTGGAGAAAGGAAAAGGAATGGGATGGAGACCAGCTGCCAGCACCTCGGAGCCCAGCACCCTCTCCCATCTGGGATTGCTGCTCGTGGCCCCAGTACACCAGAGCAGGAAACAACATTGATGCCCCGAACAAGCCCACACCATGAGGAGACATGGGCTGTCCTCACAGGGATGACACCTGGACCCTAGGGCCGGCGTGAGTGTCAGGACCTTCCCCGCAAGCATAGAGTGGTTCAGCCCCCTGCCGGAGCATTCTCCACATCCCCCCTTCCCTGACTTCCCCACTGGGGGGAAGGAATAAAGCCTCCCTGACACCGTAAGGGAAAAGAAGGCACATGGGGGGTTTCTCTTCCACCCAACTCAGCCCCCTGTAACCTGGCCAGACCCCCTCCCCCCCCTCTTCTTCCTCGCCTCAGTCCCAGGCCACCCCGCTTC